TCCATTTTTTTTCCCTCAACTTCAACATAAGGTTTCTCCTTCATTTTGAGTCCAAATTAGGTGCTTCAAAAGGCTAACTTCAAGAGAATTTCGTGGGGAATCTAGTGGTGATCTCAGAAACGCGAGGGGAGGCTTCGTTTGAGGTAAGGAATCGATTTTAGCCACTGCCAGGGTGATTTCCGGATTGAATTGTTGTTGAATTTTGAAATGTGAGATCTTGATCATCTTAGGTCCGTTTTGAGTCATTCTTGAGGCTAACTTGTAGAGTTTTTCGCAAGGATCGTCGTGTTATAATCTGTTTGGGTTGAAAGGGTCTCGTTTTTCCAGAAATTGGTGATCAAGGGGCTGCCCATTTTAATTGTTGTGGCTGATTTGCTATGTTTTAGGCATCTGTTTGTGCTAAATTTTGGGGTATTAGTTTAGTAAGGTATTTGGGACATTTTCATGGATTCGTTTTCGAGATTCTAATTGTGGGCCCCACAATCCCGTTTTAGACCCGATTTTGGGTCCGTCTCCGAAAAATATAATTTTAGTGTCAATATATTCGTAATGACGAGGTGATTAACCTTTTGTTAGTGGGGAAGCATTTGGAGACCGTTCGGAGGGGAAAAGATCCGGTACCGTGAGTTGGAGCACGCGTGGTCGGCTTTCAGGTAGGCTATGACTTTCTCTTGTGAGATTGAGCATGTTTAGGTATTTGTTTATTGATTTGCTTGAGTATGGAGGGGTTCGGGTGTTGAGCATGCTAAATTTCTATAATTCCTGCCTTAGACCTTATTTCGGGAAAATGTTGGATTATGACAGCGTGTCTCTTGATATTATTGAATATCCATATCTTGTAGTGTATATGATAATATTGATTTGAAGTATGTTTGGCCTTAGTCTAGGCTTAGACTAGTGTTGCCATAGACTTGCGAGATTTCGGATGTCGTTGGGCAGTAGAACTTTTTCCGACGTCGTTTCGGACGGTCAGCTCCTTGTAGACTGATATAGCAGACTTGAGTCTGATAGTCGGTAACTCAGCTTATGACCTTGTATCCATAATGCCCTGCTTTTCTGTTAGCTACAGTACCCGGTTAGAGTCCGTAGTCCAGCTTACTTATGTCCAGGCTTAGCTACAGTACCCGGTTAGAGTCCGTGGTCCAGCTTACCACCTGTGATCTGGTTTTGGCTACAGTACCTGGTTAGAGTCTGTGGTCCAGCCCACCCGTGCCCGACCTTTGGCTACAGCACCCGGTTCGAGTCCGTGGTCCAGCCCATATAGGTTGACTCATTAGCTATAGTACCCGATTCGAGTCCGTGGTCCAGTTTGCACGTGGTGTATTCCCAATTCCTCACTAAAGCTTCAGTTTAGTCTTGATTACTCTCATCTGTAGGTTGAGGTTTTGGAGGTTGGAGAGATTCCGATTAAAGTCCGGGACGTAATGAGATCCTGGAATATGATTGGGAATGGTTCAGTTAAAAGTCCAGAAATTGGTAATATTGTGATAGACCTTCTAGCTCCATTATTTTACTTCAACTGCCGGTGCATCTGCCGGGCTTATGGGGGTCCGTGCAGGTGGTTTCTTTTATTGTGCACGAGCGTACCCGTCGGGTTTATGGGAGCCCGGCGGAGTTAGTTAGATTGCTTGTCTTTGTTGCCTGTACGCTCGTGTACATACCCCCTCATTTACTACTCTTTGCACTTGATGTGACCCTTTATGTGCATTTCAGTTAACTTTTGCTTATCTTGCTCAGTCGGCCTATGATGCCTACTGGGTACCTGTTGTTTTGGTACTCATGCTACGCTCTGCATCTATTTTGTGATGCAGGTCCGAGCACTAGTAGCTAGCGTTGATCGAGCTTAGAGTAGACTTATCCAGAGACGGGGGTGAGCACACAACGTTTTGTACTATTTCAGTCTCCATCTGTATATATAGACTTGTCTTTTTCCTTTCGAGACAGTCCAGTCTCTGTTGTCCAGTTTTGGGACTTGTACTCATTTTGTAGTAGCTCTGTACTGGTGACTTCCAGGTTCTGGGAGGGATCTTTATATTGTTATTTTCCTACTCTTGTTTAATTTCTACCCTCAGACCCATTACTTGTTGTTCCGGGTTACGGGTTGGCTTACCTGCTGGTGGGTTATAGTAGGTGCCATCATGACTTGATAAATTGGGTCGTGACATCTACTACAAATAAACAAAATTAAAATTAATTTCTCAATCACTCTTCAAAACTAATAAAAAAAGTGAGCGGTTGTAGTCAATAAAAACCCAACAAAGATTCAGAGTCAAATCGCACATAGAATGGTATATCGTGGAGAATTCCTATCAAGAGATTTGGATTTTAAGATCGTTCATTTGCAATAGTAAGAACAAGTGGGTGTATACTTCCACCAACTTTATGCAAATCTTTGGTTATCAATTATCACAATTAAACTAAAATGTCGAAGATTTCAGGAGTTAACAAGCAATCAAGGGGTGCAGGGATAGGAAATCGATGTCACATAAGGGTAATTGTGTTGTTCTATAGTGATGAACATTCATGAATAGACTTAGTCATCTTCATTGACGCTAATCATCTTTCAATCGCAAAGCATCTATGCATAAAATCTCCTTTCTGTCTTATCTAAATGTCAATCAAAACAACCCAATACCTTACTCTATTCTATCTTTCAAAAATAGGGCGAATAGATCCGACCCTTAATCTTTATTTTCAAGCAAGTTACAGACATCACACCTAAATTGCTAGTATTAAACTAATTACCTACTCCAATCAATCTCTTTCGAGCATCAACCAGTGATCAGAAGTAGAAATTAAATTTGCAACCTTTACCCATAAATTAAATCCATAATAATTAGACCAAATTCATGTATGAACAACAACAAAACAGAGCATAGCACAATATCCACTACATTAAATCAACACTCAATCCCATAATTGCACCCCTATATCTTGGGGTTTAAGCCACCCATCACAAAAAGTAAAAAGATTATACCTTCCATGAAAGCAATCATAGGTAACATCAAATTAAGCAATTAGAAGTAAACCCACTTTGGATTCAACTTCATTTTGTCAATTTCAAGTACAAAGTTGTAAAACCCCAAAAGCTAGAAAAGTGTTCTTCAAAAGTAAAATATTTAATCTCTCTAAAATCTTCACACACTATGATATTTTCTACTATATGTCATATGATATATAATTTCTCTCTCCTTTGGGCTATTTATAATTTCCTAAAATTAGACCCAAAATTCCACTTTGCGGCTCAATCAGCGACATTAGTCGGGCTCGCTGAACATGTTTGGTGCATCACCTCTTGCTCCACAACTCACCTTTTAATGATATAGACTTCAGGTGTTTTGAACCTCAATTGGTGAACTCGATTGAGTCAGCCTTTCTTGTTCATCAAATCGCCAAGTATCATCTTGGTTCACCTTTTTAGCATTCAATATTTTCTTTCCATACTGTCATTTTGGGTGATGCTCATCAAGGCCGTCTTTCTCGTTCGACGCATCACCTTCTCCACTGGAGTCCATCGATCTGATTTGATAGACACAAGTGTTATGCACTGTCATTTTGGGTGAGGTTGTGCTCAAACGACAATCCGCCCTTCTTGTAAAGTTATCCACAATGTATGATCGACACTTCTTTTTGCATTTTTGTCCATTCTTTCAACCATCAATCCTTGTCTTGTCCAATTTCCTTCATAGCTGCAAATCATCAACATTTAATCAAAATAGAATAATATTAGGCATTGAGGACACCAATTATTGAGCTAAATGAACCTTAAATGAGTGCAAATCTATCACTCATCATAGTCTCACCTTTTTGAGCCTTTAGGTACCTTCATTTCTTTAACTTTCGAGGAAGAAAGTGCTTTTAGTAGTGGATATGGTAATGACCTTCTTAGTCATTTCCTTGTTTTTTTTGTGTGTTTTGACTATTTTGTCCCTTCATCTAGCTTGTATGTTGTGTATTTAGTGTGTTTGGATGTGTGGCACACTTCCTGAGGTGGTTCGGGAGAATTTTCGGGGAGTTTCCCCATTTTTGAAGTGTTTATGTTGAAAGAGTTAACTTTGGTCAACACTTAGAGAATTTGTTGTCGTATAAAATTTATGTCAGTTCTATCAGCTTCGGAATGTCCATTTTGGTTTAGTAGCATTGTTTATTTGGGCTCCGAGCCTTTAGTGTGAGTTTAAGCAGTTAGGCAAGATGTTGAAAATTTTAGATGAGGGCTGACTTCAATCAATATTTTGGTAAATGGGCTCGGATGAGATTTCTGTTAGCGTTGTTAGCTTTGAAATGTTGAGTTTGGTCTAGAATGACCTTTGATTTGGATCCTAAGGTGATCGGGATGATTTGTGGTGTTTGCGAAATACTTGTTTTCGTTATTTTTGTGAGAGTTGATTTGGGCCAACATTTTATCAAAACGACCTCAGTTGATTGTTTCGACAATTTTGTTGAGTTTAGAATGTTGATTTTGATGTGGTAACATAGTTTATTTGCGTGCATGGCATTCCAAAAATGAGATGAGGGTTTGATGTTAAAATGTTGATTTGGGCCAACATATTTGCATGCATAGTTCGATAAGTCGATTGAGATGAAGATCGAATGTGAATTACTAAGATGATTAAGTCGATTGAGATGTAGATCGAATGTGAATTACTAAGATGATTAAGTCGATTGAGATGTAGATCGAATGTGAATTACTAAGATGATTTTTGGAATAGAAATTCCATACCATTGAAAATAACTTAGCTTAGTCTATTCGGTTTTTCATAGTAGAAAGATAGCAAAAATAAAGTCTTTGATGTGGATTTGTGTAAGAAAAAATAATAAGAATCTATTGTTAGCATTGGTGAAATTTTATTAGAGGAAGACATGAAATTGGACCATTTAGATAAGCATTAAAAATCTTGGCTAGATTATATATAGCTTTATGAACGGCATTGTAATGTAATTATCGCTTCTTTGTTTGCTAAATAAGATTTACCTTCATTATTTTAAGGAACATGAATGCATTATTTGATAATGTGCATGTAATTTATAAGAAGTCTTTGAATTAAAGCACTATTTGATAACTCAAGTGCTTCAAGAGAGGATGCCAAAAAACTAATTCCCTAATGATGGGAAATTTTCATTCTTCATTTCCCCGATTTGTATGGCAAAATGTATAAGACAAAAAAAATAGAGGAAATTAACTATGCGGACCAGCTCTTGCTATTATTTTCTACCTAATCTGCTGGTTGAAGTTTACCTCATTTGCCTCTTTTGTAGTGAATGCTGCTTGTCTGGAGAGGATTTGTGATGATTAATATAAAGAAGGTTTTCAGTCACCTGAGGAAATAACCACAAAAACATCATCAAGGGACCACTTTCTTTGCTTTGACTTGCCTGCTGGGTTAATCACAGCACGTTCTGCAGCTGCAATGCGGTATCCAATCACTATCTCCCGTCTTTGACGACCCCTTCTCATGATATCGTAGAAGCACACTTCTTCCTGGTCATACAGATAAAACTCGGCTGGCTTGATGCATAATTCATTTCCCTGTATTTCATTCATATAAATGCATGCTCTCACATTAAACTCATCTACAGTCGTCCAAGCATATCACTCTATGCACTCAGTCTATAAGTAAATAAGGAAAAAACAATACCTCTTCCGCAAACAATTCTTCTAGCACACGATTAATCTGTTTGTCTTCTGCTACCATTGCAAGTGCCATGCTCACCAGTTCATTTGACAGCACATAATCACTTATTCTAGACACTGACACAAGATTTCTTGTCCTAGAGTCCAATATCTCACTTATTATTATTGATCTGTCTGATGCCTGCTGCATTTCACGAATCCAGGAGCTCTGAGAAAACACTGAATGCCGTAGAGGAACCGACCTAGAATCTTTATTAGGAAGACGCTTCGACTGCATTAAATAACAATTCAGCAATTTCAATCACTATTGGAGGATTAATGACATCCATTTTACCATTGTGACTTGGGAAATCAGAAAGGGCAGGCCAGAGGGAGAGGAAGTGAGATCATTAGTACTGGAAGGGAGGAAAAGGCAAAATGAAGTGAAAAGAAATTGAGGGCAAAAATGAAAAAGCTGCAGACTTCTTCAAACAAGAAATGCTTCTCAGAAACAAGTACTCCAGTGAAAAACTAAGTTTATATGCCTCAATCGAAAGTTGGCAACAATGACCTGGATATCTCGGATGAGAAGGAGGGTGGCAAGAGACCGTGAATCAGAATGAACAATGGAGTCTTCAACGGATTCATCTGCAAGAATCAAAATCTATTCTCTTAGAGTTAGTAAACAGTGCATCAACAAAAATATGAATTGACATGCCAAAATACTATCCTCTGGTATACAGTTTTAACTTTTAAATCATAATGATTCTCGTCTTTGCTTATTCTACACCAAGGAAAATCAAGAGCAACTAGCCCACTGCATTCAGATCCTTAGTAGCAAGACAAAGATAAACATTTTTCCTGAATTCAGAAGTGTGAAAAAATTACCAAAAGGATTCACCAGCTACCTAGCGCTATGCTACAACAAATCCAGAAATCATTAGTTTTGCCCGAGGGAACATTAAAGTAAATAAGCATCTTCCGTGCAAACAAACATGACCATGTTTTTCTCCCAACCTTATTGAGAAATGACTTCATTTATTTTCAGTTTTCTTTTAGGAGAATATTAAAGATCTCAAAGTATGAGAACAACTTGAACTTACCGAATCAAATGTCTCCAGAGGAAGACCCTCTAAATGACGTCTAATCACTGCATTTCCCACATGATGGACAAGTTTTATGTTCTCTAGTCCTGATATATCAAGACCCCCATCAGTCAACTTTTTTTCTCTATCATTCTCGGGCACCTCATTAAACATCCACAATTCAGACCCTGGAGCCAATAATGCCTCCAGTACCTAACAAAACGTGAAGAAGCCTCTGAAACACATGAATAGTATATATTCTCACTGTTTTTGTTGGTTTCTGAAATGATGGTACAGCAAAAAAAGGTTGAAAGAAAGATTGAAAATGTTTCTCAATAATTTTGTTAAGCATAGAAGACTTTTATATAGTCAACTGGAAAACAGAATCTGCAGAACAAAATTCAAAAACCTAAATTATATCAACTAGACTAATCTAACAGAATTCAAATTTTAAACAAAGACTCCTCCTGCAACTAAACTACTAATTATTCTAGTAATTTAGCAGTAACAGAAGCAAATATTCAACATTTTAGGATTTTACACTGTATTTGATTCTTAAAAAAGCTTCGAACACAAAATCAATGCAAGGATTTTTAAAAGATCACAATTATAACTGGAACAAACAAGACAAAAAAAGAAAAGAAGAGACAAGTAATTATAAGCATGAAGACAAATATATGAAACAAATATATTGTTTAGTGTCGCCTCTTCAGGAGAGACTCATTGGCAAGGAAAAGTATGCCTTAGAACCTTGATGACGACATGGAAGCACATATTAAGCAAGGCCTGTGCTCTACACATTTTGAGCCTCGTTTTAGGGCTTAAGCACGCTTAAATAACACTGGTTCTCGGGGCGTGGTCTCTGGCAGGACCGAGGAGCAGGGGTGGTAAGTGGGTTATGGAAGCTGCAAGGCTAAGAGTGGGATCTAGGAACATAAGGTCATTAACGGGGAAGTTCATAGAGCTACTGAAGATTATCAACAAGAGGACAACACTGAAGCACATATTAAGCAAGGTGAAGCGCTCAACATGTTTTGAGACTCGCTTCAGGGCTTAAGCACACTTAAATAACAGTGGTTCTCGGGCGTGGTCTCAGGCAGGTGCAGGGGGTAGGGAACAGGGAGCAGGGGTGGTAAGTGGGTTATAGGAGCTTCAAGGCTAAGAATGGGATCTAGGAACATAGGGTCGTTAACAGGGAAGTCCATAGAGCTAGTGAAATTTCAAGAGGAGGACGACACCGAAGCTGTGAAGCACATCTTAAGCAAGGCGAAGCGCTCAACACGTTTTGAGCTTCGCTTTAGGGCTTAAGCATGCTTAAATAACACTAGTTCGTGGTCTCAGGAACTGGGGTGGTTTCTGTGTTAGTCACATATTCAGACACAGACACACACACACAGAGATTGAAAGGAGAAATAGGTGATAAAGATGTACAGTACCATAATCATATCATCAATATCACGTCTCCAGCCACAGAATAAGATTCGTTCTGGATATTTTGGAGGATCAGTTATCCTAGGGAATAGGCCTTTATTTACCTGCAATAAGCAAGCCACTATATAAGCAAATACAGAAACTGAGCCAATGTCCACCATGCATTTGTTGAAATATCACCAGACAAGGATCAGAAATATTGACCTATGGAAGGGAGCAACCAGTAGATTCACAAAATTCAGATATACAAATTACAGTAATGGTGATACACGACTCAGACTCAATTTCTGTCTTTGTTTAATTATTTAAAAGAACTATCAACTATATTGCCTGCCATTGATGGAGAATAGAACTAATGTTTTACTGTCGTCTCTTTCTCACACAAGATAAATGCCTTAAGTTCAAAAGAGGAATTAGAATACTGGAAAGCACCTAATTTGATGCTAAATGCTACAATAACCAAACACTAGTAAAAATACCTAAACCAAAAAAAAAAACAATACTAGCAAAAATAAACAATACAGGGAAGAGAATTCACCTCTGGTAAGAGACCTGGCACATAGGTATCACATCATCCTCAGCTATGACAAGACTTCATCACCCTCTTTTAGAACATATCTATCATCAGGATTTATGATAATCTTGCCGCCATAAGCAGCAACCTTAACACCGCAAGGAATAGCCTCCGGAAATGATACCAGTACATCTTCAAAGGGTACACCATCCAGTGAGGCCACCGTTTGATATAAAATTCTGCATTTTCAAACCCCAAAATGTCTTCCCAAAATCTGTTCATATTGGACGAGACAGGGTATTAACAAGAAAATACATATTACTCTTACGCAGAAAACTAACAGCTACCAAAAACAGGATCAAGCAAAAATGAGGAAAGCTATACTATTTTGCATT